GCACACACACACACGTTATGATGACGTAAATAATGTTTCGAAGTTGTTTTCGCTGCAGTGAAACAACGTGTCTGTGCGGCGAATGGACAGAAATAACATTTCACTTTTTATCTGGAAGTCAAACGGTTTCTTATTCAAATGCTTGCACTGTTTCAGCGCCTGTTCGCATAAGGAACACAGCGATGAGTGAAGAGCAGTTATTTCTCAGCTAAACAGAATATAGTGATCTTATCTTATCTTGCCGTCCTGCGCTGGCCTCACACTTCTCCTTCGTCGTTCCGGGTGCCATCTTTGCTGGTGGAACGCAAACTTTTCTTTTCGCCTGAATATTGGATTCAGCGACGTGAATCCATCGGTGCTCAGCCATTGCCTCAATTATGACAAAATAAATATACTATAAACATCTTCTGTTATGGTACTGTGGCTTATAGTGGATGTAGAAGAACAGACCGATATCCCAAACATGGATGTGATAAAAAGAAACAACAACCCTCCTTTTCATAAATAGTCCGACCTTTGATATGCAAAAGATCACATATGAAATGCAAACGTTGAAACTGTAAAACACAAGCTGTGAATTCTCCCTAATGTATTATTGTTCCTTTTTTTTTGTTTAATAACCATACTTCATATCTGATTTGCCGTGGCCTTGTCAAGCGGTTGCAGATCGGTCTCGGTGTGTCCCTCGGCTCGTAGGAAGCTCGGACGTGCATGGACGGAAGCCAGAGCGCTGACGAAAGGGTCGTAATGCGGAAACATCCAGGGTGGGAACTGTACAGTGAAGCTGCTGATAGGGACTGTAGTGGGAGCAGTTGTTAACTCTCTCAGTCTGTACGCTCTCAGGCGGTGGAGAAGGCTTGTTATACCTGCACGTGTGTCCCCTGTGCGTGCAAACTCTGGACGGCAGAGACAATCTTCTTTTGGTGCCCCACCAGAGTCACACCCATCTTGCTTAACTCACTGAGGAAGAAGGGACAAAAAAAGAGAACACGTTTGAGGAAATCATGTAATAGTGTTTGGTTGTAGAATAATTAATTAAAGAACAATATATTTAAAGGCCCACTGAAGTGCCTTGGAACGCACAGCTTTGTCTGGTGTGTTGACAATTTCCACTGAAACAGGAAGCTGCGGCGGGACATATTGAATGGCTCCTCCCCCTTTTCAAATAGCCAATAGCGTTTAGTTTACCTCACAGACTGCAAATACACTCTTAAAAGTAAAGGTTCTTTATTGGCATTGATGGGTCAATGAAGAACCTTTAACATCCATGGAACCTTTCCATTGCGCAAAAGGTTATTTAGAGTGGAAAAGGGTTCTTTAAATTATTTCAATGTTCTTCACATAAAAATAAATGGTTATATTAAGAAGTGTTCACTGAAAGGTTCTTTGAGGAAGCAAAAATGTTTTTCTATGGCATCACTGCGATAAACACCTTCTAGCAACAATTTTTCTCTGATGTCTCATTTCAAGTTTCTGAGTAATTGTTTTGAACCTTACTGAAAGGGGGGGGAAAAGTACAGTAATCAGAACCTATTTGATGTGCTTCAATGTGGAGCATAATTTTATAACCGAAGAGATTGCTTTGTGGGCAGAGCTACCCAGCAGCACATTATAAAAATACAAATCAATCGACTTTTTTTGCATGACACATATTGCGGCTGAATTGACAAAGCTGCATTTTCATCATTCTAATATGCTGATTTGATGCTCAAGTACAATTTCTTCTTATTATAGACGTTAACATTTTTGAAACCTTGATACTTTTTTTTAAGGTTTCTTTGACAAATAGAAAGTTAAAAAGAACAGCATTTAATTGAAATAAAAAATAAAACAATAATAATAAATTATTAACAAATAATAAAAAATCTTATTCCCCCCAAATAATTATAAATAATAAAATATTAAAAATAAAAAAATTGGTCTGAACACTTGCCAAGATGTGAGCCTTTGCCCAGATACACAAACTTACCACAAGCTGATGTACAGTATGGAATCTAGAGAAACGTAGCCAGCGCTGGCGAAGTTGTCCTTGTACTGGCCCATACTGATGGCGTCTAGCCATTCATCCACCGTACTCACGCTGAACTCTGGGGTGGTGGGGTCTTCCCTGGAAAGGAAATTGGATTTGTATCAATTATGGTGTGGTTCAATGCTAAAGAATGGAAAACTGCTCTTGCGTAATAAATCGTCGTTGGAATTGTAGGTTATAGTGTTAAGGCTTCAGGCTTACAGTTAACAAAAATCCAATCAAACTGTCATTTGTCTAGGAGTATAATGATAGCGATTTTTCAGGACCAAAAAAGCAAGTTGATCCAAGAACTTCCTTGCACTTCCTTGTGAGAAGTCGATATCTTAAGTAATTTCATGAGAAAAGGATAAAGAGTTAAAGAGTTGCGGTAGAGGTTAAAACCCATTGTGTTCCCTTTCCGTTCTTCGTGACAGGCGGGTTAGGCTCACAATGTTGAGTGACAGCAGCGTTTGAGTGAAATCCGGGGGTCAATTCAATCTCAGACCTGGGATGTATTTAACGCCCTCGTTCTTCTTTGTCCTCTTTGGACACAGAGGGATAAAATGACTGGCAGGTTGGGCTGTAATCAGAGAGACTGTGATGGGCTTGAAGAAGCGTATATCTCAAGAAGGGCTCTGACTCACTAGCTTTACGGCTGTAATGTGAACTCTGCGTCTCCGGCTCGAGCGCTCCTGATAAACCGCAGGTGGAGGGGGGAGTCTGCGCTCTGTCTCATGTCAGGTTTTACAATAGGGGTTCAGGCTATCTATACGACAACGACTTTTTACAAAGCTGCGAGATGAATGTCTGCTGGAAAAGGATCAGTGACACTAGGTTTGGTTATATTAGACGATATGGACTTTATCAGCTTGTTGTCTCACATTAAACGAAAGATTTGAGAGTTCATGGGGCAGACAAAGAAAAGCTGGATTGGATTTTCTCTGGATTTATTTGAGCTGTTAGGGATTTGTTTTTGTGGCTTTTAAATGTTCACTTTAAAATAGACAATCCTTTGGTTTAAACTGGTGTTGTTCTTTGTGTTTCATGTTTCCACCACTTTATCATATTTAAACAATGTTAATAAATGGTTAAACAACGGTTCTTTATAACCCTGAGTTAACATAATCTTGGGTTATCTGGATCCATCAGGTCTGATCATACTTTTTTTTTTAACACATTTTACATTAGCAAAACTCTTGGGGTAGCTTTCTCATTTTCATATTTAGTGATGAACATGCAACCTCTTTAAGTGTCTACCTCAGACACTAATGTTACATTAATTTGAATATTTTTTCTAAAGAAAATAAAAATAAAGATATATGCTCTGAAAAATAAATATATTTTTTTAAATAGAAATCATTTGCAATATTATAAATGTCTTTACTGTCTCTTTTTATACGTTTAATGCATTGTTACATAAAAGTATTAAGTTCTTTCAAAAAAATTAATGGTAGTGTAAATTATCTTATCTTTAATTTATATTGTTTAAAGTATATTTAGATATTTTTTACAGGAAAACAAGATTTTACATGATTTATTGATTATTATGATGATTATTTATTATCTATAAACATTACATAACCAAGGGTTAAAGAAAAGTGGCCTTAATGCAGGGTTAAGCATAGTGTGAAAAGCTGAAGCACAGGTTCATATCAGTTTCTCACCAGACTGAGCTGTTGGCAAGCTCTTTCAGACTGTTGGGGTTGCGGATGAGTTTGTCAAGAGTGTTGACAATCTGCCCAAATTTGGGCCGTTCGCTTCTAGTCTTCTCCCAGCAGTCCAACATCAGCTGGTGGAGGACCACGGGACAGTCCATCGGAGCGGGCAGCCTGTAACCCTCATCTATAGCTTTAATCACCTGAAACAGAGGCACATACATCAAAATACATTACAACGAACAAAGAACATAACGTGAAACTGCACTCTAAGAAAAGTCCATAAAATAGGGCCCATTGTACTGTGTTAACATGAAAAGATTTTCCATAATGATTTTTCACAGGTGTTTTACCCATATTTTGAGTTACGCATATTGCTTTGTGTTTTAGAGTTAGAGATGCCCGTAAACTCAACGGATAATATTCTGGCAGAAAATCACCAGTATGTAACCTCAAGGATACATTTCTACTGTATTTGTCCCTTAAAATAACTTTTATTATTCAGTCAAATAAAATCATATTTTTGACTCAAGTAAAATCCAGTAATATAGTTGCTATATTATAAAGTAATAGCACATTTGTATGAAGCACATTTTTAGGTTACGTAGTTTTTCCAGTTTCATTGCTGCTGTTGTTAATGTTGCTACAAGACCATACCAAATTAATGTAGGATCTTTTTTAAATGTAAGTAAAAGTAAATGCAAATATTTCTGTCCGTTTCTTCTTTTGATAACACTGTTAATGGCTAATACCAAGCACCTGGTATGCTATCATTGTACTTTAGTGGAAAAATTAGGTTTAGTAGTAGTTACCATGGTATATTAATGTAAGGAACATCACATTTACATTTCTATATTACTTTATCTAAATCACCTTTTGTCTATTCCATGGTGTAAAACATAAGAACCTTTAATTAAGTCATGTAACATTCATTGGTACAAGACATCTCCTATGTGACTATAACTCATTGCTATGGTTAAAACAGTCCCTGTTCTCTGCCACTTCATGTTCTTAAATCAAATGAGCTATTTTCTTTTAGACATGAAACATTCTTCTGTGTTTCAGAATGAGCACAGAAGATCTAAATCTTTATCAGCGGTGCCCTGAAGGTCTTCAAGATTTTCTCTGACATTTCCTCTGATGGTAATAAATGGAGAAGTCAGAAACTGTTAGCATAATATAGCAGTGAGGGATGAAGTGTGTTTCACTGGCTTGAATTAAATGCAGGAGCAGCTGGACAGCTCTCGTTTATGAGGCTCCTAAAACCATTGTCATTCGAGCGCTTTATATACAGACATCACTGCAGGAAGATTTTACTTGCAAGGACACACTGCTCGGAGACTCTGCCCTCCCCCCTCTCCCAAGAGGCTTCAATGGAAATGATATTAGTGGAGGTATTAGATATTAGTGGAGCAGATTTCAATTTAAACAATACACGAGAGAACATGAGTGTTTCCAGTTTCTCAAGGACACTTACGTCTTGATTAGACATCTCCCAATAAGGCCGCTCTCCATATGAGATCACCTCCCACATGACGATGCCGTAACTCCAAACGTCACTTGCTGAGGTGAACTTCCTGTACGCTATAGCCTCAGGAGCCGTCCATCGAATGGGAATTTTTCCACCCTAAAAAGGAAATAAAAAGATGGTGTTTCTTTAAAATCAGGTACTTTCATGTTCCAGGGGTTGATTGAATTTTTTTTTTTTTTGCTATATGAGAGAAAATGATTTCTGTCATTTTCAAAACTTAGGATTGTCCCTCATTTGTGGAATAATTTCTACCACACCAAACAAGTTTTCTAAAAAAAAAAATGGTGTACTTGGTTACCAAGTGATAACAGTGTCAGTGAAGAGCTTGGGATTAAATATGACACGTCATATAAATAAAAATAAATAAATAAGTAATAGTTTGTATTGTGCGTAATTGTGCACAAAATGTGAAAATACACTACAGTTCAAAAGTTTGGGGTCAGTAAGATGTTTTTTTTTTATTAAGAAATTAATACTTTTATTCAACAAGGACACATTAAATTGATGAAAAGGGACAGGAAAAACATGTATAATTTTACAAAAGATTTCTATTTGAAATAAATGCTGTTCTTTTGAACTTTCTATCAAAGAATTCTAAAAAAAAAGTGTCAGTTTCCACAAAAATAATAAACAGCACAACCGTTTTAATAACTGATACTAAATAAAATATCTTGAGCACCAAATCAGCATATTAGAAAGATTTCTGCAGGATCATGTGACACTGAAAACTGGAGTAATGGCTGCTCTTTTAAAAAAAAATTGTAATAATTCACAATATTATTGTTTTTACAGTATTTTTGAGCAAATAAATGCAGCCTTGGTGAGCATAAGATACCTATTTTAAAAACATAAAAAAAAAAACCTTACTAACCCCAAACTTTTTAACATTAGTGTATGGCTTAAAGGTGCAGTGTGTAACATTTTTGAGTATTTATTAACAGAAATGCAATATGACATCCATAACTATGTGTTCAGTGGTGTATAAAGAACTTCCTTAATAAACCGTAATGTTTTTATTACCTTAGAATGAGGCATTTATATCTACATAGGCGCGGGAATCCCCTTCTATGAAGGTCGCCATATTGTGACGTCATGTTTCTACCGTAGCCGAACGCGAACAAACAGCGTTACAGAGCGCGTTTCGTCACTACCTTGAAAGAGAAGCCGCAGGAAGCTAGAAGAAGCTAGTCATAAACACCGTGAGTAGTGACTTTTCCCTTGTCAGTGGTGTAAATATGTAGTTGGATTGTTTCATGTAACTTAGTTCTTCTCCCTCGCTGTGTTATGGCTTTGCTATGTGGGGATAAATGTGCTGGTTAAGTTCGTGAGACAGCTGATTAGTAGGCTACTCTTGTCATTGACCGTAAAACAGTTACAGGAATCACCAACCCGTCGATCTTGGAAGCATTTTAAGTCGATCGAGTTTCCAAAATCAGAGAAAAAAAAGCCTACTGTGTGTGTAGTAAGTGTGTCTAGGGGATGCGGAGGCGCGCGCGCTGTTACAATCACGTCATTTTTGCCGCACGCACCTTTGGGCTCATGGGGACGCGTCGAGTTTAAACAAGGCTTAACGCTTTAACCAGCTCAGCCACAGTAACAGCTCATATTAGCCAGCTAAACTTTTACTACCCTGTTAGAAAAAATATATAGTTGCATAGTTTCATATGGTTCTTCTCCCTCGCTGTATTATGGGTTTGCTATGTGGGGAGAATGTGCTGGTTACGTTCGTGAGACAATCAGCTGATTACTATTATTATATTATATATTAAGACCCTTGATCCTCACCTGAAACTTTATCCATGATGTGGTTTATAATGGACTGTGGTACAGAAACTTGGTTTACGCTGGCTATTCTCTGCTGTCTCAGACGACGATGTTTGTCCCGTTTTAGCCACCGTAGCTTCTTCGAAAGGGAGGGGTAAGCGGTGGGCTGAGCCCTTAGTGTAAACTCGCAACCGAACCGCTAGATGTCGCTAAAAATCACACACTGGACCTTTAATTGTCACTATTTAAGACACCTAAAATGCTAGCTATGAAATTAGCCTTACTGTAGCAAGACTATTTTATTCCAAAAATGTTCATTTCCATCATCGTCATTTCAACACAATATACAAGCTGAGATGTAGCTGAAATAACATTGTGGTGTAATTTCCAGGATAAAAAATGACTGAACGTCGGTCGGACGTTGTTAGTACACTACTAAAATTAATGAGAGTGTGAAAAATGTGTTTTAAGATATTTCATTCTCTGAAAGTTAAAGACCCATAAACAAACAACAGAATAGATACAATATTTGCCTTTCCATTCCAGCACTATGAAGGGGTCTGTATTTCCCTAAATGCCTTTTTAAATAGCTGCAGTAGTTTGTAGTTAATCTCTACAGTCAAAGTCAAACAAAAGACAAACTGGCTGTACTCTATATAGACATACGTGACGAGAGTGCCAAAGAACGGCAGCAGGGCCCATGGGGTAAAATCATTTAAAGAGAATTTCAAAAAGCGATCTTTACAATTTTTTTTAATTATATAAAGTCAGAGCAACATAAACGGCTGCCTCGCGTGGCCTGAAGGGTTTTGTCTCTTCATGATTTTCAGGGCTTGAAGCAACGGGGCACGGGGCGCTGAATGTCAGAGACACTTATATTTTAAGAGTTCCTCCCTGTTGAAACACATTTTGTCTCAAGCGCGCACACACACGAGCATCAAAAGGCAATCTGCAGGGGTCCGTTCAGGGTTGTACAAGCACCTCCCTCCCTTGTTTGAACGTGACAACAGATTCTCCTGCTGAGTCTATGCTTTGTCCACACTGAAGGCCACACACACACACACACACACACATGTTGTGTTTTCATGTTTTATGGGGACTTTCCATAGACATAATGATTTTTATACTGTACCGACTGTATATTCTATTCCCTTACACTAACCCTATCCCTAAACCTACCCATCACAGGAAACATTCTGCATTTTTACATTTTCAAACAACATCACTTAGTATGATTTATAAGCTGATTTCCTCATGGGGACCAAAAAATGTCCCCACACGAACAAGGATTTCGGATATTGCCATCCTTGTGGGGACATTTTGTCCCCATAACGTAGGGTTTACCAGGCCACACACACACACACACACACACACACACGCACACAGCCTCGCATCCCTCTCTTGCCCTTGGCCTTCATGCGCATCCACAGGGGTGCTCACCAATTACCGAGCTGAGAAGGACAGAGAGCTCTAGAAGAACGAGTGTAGGCTGTCCTGTCAGAAACGGATGTAATTAATACATGCTGTGTGGACAGAGAAACTAACCCCTGAGAAAGCCAACTCGCTTCTCAAACATCCCTCCTCTTTCTCTCTGTGTCTCATCTTAGTTCATTCACACAATCCAACACTTTTAAAGAACATAAGAGGCATCTCTTTCTCTATTCAGATCAGACATTTCAATCAATATTTCTTAACTAAGGTCTTACGGGATTTTTCAGATTTACCGTATTCGCAAAAAATGAGACGGCAATGAAAGCTAGCTCTGAAAAACCACTAAACAAATAGCAACCAAAACAGAATGTATACAGCAAACAAGATGTTACAAAACAATAAATACCATGAATTTTTTTATTCGTTCTTCATTCCCTGTTTTTGTCAAATTTATAATGACTCTAAAATAACCTTGACAGGGAAAGTTGTTTTACCCGTGTGGTGTACGCAGCTTCAGGGTCGTCCTCTAACACTCTGGACAGGCCGAAGTCGGACACTTTGCACACCAGGTTACTGTTCACCAGGATGTTTCGTGCCGCCAGGTCACGATGGACGTAGCTCATGTCAGACAGATACTTCATTCCTGAGGCAATACCACGCATCATCCCCACCAGCTGAATGACTGTAAACTGCCCATCGTGCTTCTGCAAGAGAAAGTGATGGCACGTGTTAGTTTTTTATAGATTTTACAGGTGGTGTACACTGTGAAAACAAAGGTTTAAAAAACTTTAAACTGTTCTCCTTTGGCAGCAGGATGCAAAACCCATTGTGGTTTGAACTGGAACCTTTATTTACATGCAGAGGCAACTGTAAGTAGGTTGCTAATGCTTTACAATGTGTTAACATCAGGTATCATGAACTAACAACCTTTTATTATTTTACAAATCTTTATTATTAAATATTATTTATATATCACATTAATAGTGTGTGAGTATATATATATATATATATATATATATATATATATATATATATATATATATATATACCGGTATACATACATACACACTGGAATAATATAAATAATAATCAAAATAATAATAATTATTATTATCAAATATTATTCAAATGAATATTAATTTGCTCATAAATGTCTGAAGATTTTCTTTCTGTTAAAATTTCTACATTCCATTATTCAGACTTCATGCATTTTTCAAACCCTCCATTTTCACAGATCCATTGGTTTTGCCCCGAGTTCTGATTCATTATGCAAAAGACTCTGACCTCTGGTTTTACAGCTCTTTCTGCCATAATTGCTATAATGTTGACAGGCCTTTATTAATGTAAAACCATATGGATTTGGTGCCTCTGTTAGCTAAACAAAAGAGCTCAGACATCCATTTTGCCTCAAAAACAATCTTCGCAATAAGCAATTAGCTCAATGTCTTAATCTCCATATCTGGGCAGTACACTAATCTTGTTAAAACCCCACTTTTGTACCTCCGAGCAATATCAATCAGAAAACATGCGCTCGTATAGTATTTCATGCATCATAATGTGGGTAAGTTAATTACGCTGTGTTTTGTGAAATGTGGCCGCTGATTGATCGTCCGGCCTGATCAACTGGTTGTTATCAATCTACTGTCAGAAGCCACACTACTTACAGGAAGAGCAGAGAGACGCAGACATAGAGACAGAGAGAAATCATTTGTTTTGCTACTAGTAAGTGATGCTTAACTGATCTGTCTTCTAATTAAACACATGTAGCTGGGTGGCCGAACTATGAGCTATTAGCCATAAAACGGACCCCATAATTATATTAGCTTTTTATGTGGGCTAAGGGGGTATTTATGGGATTCATTATGTACGCCAGAGAAAGATCGAAAGTCTCAGACAGGCCCATTTTTAGGGGTGGGGGTGTTAGATTTCATTTTCATTTTCTCAAAGTGTAGGCAATTAAAAAGAGTCCTGACTTAAAGGAAAACGTATCTGTGCTGTGCGTAATAAAACTTCGTGGCCTGATCCGCTGGGTGACAAAGGCGGTAATAAATTAGTGAGGATTGCAGAGGAGACATTATGGCAGCTTGGTGGAGCGAGCGTAACCTTATTATAAATCTACCGAGTTCATTTACTCACTTCCTGTCTCTGTACGAGACACGTTCACAACACGTTCACTCAAATACACGTTCAAGTGTTATTATCGTTTACTAAAACAAAGACGGGTAACGCTTTATTTCGATAGTCCACTTTAGACATTCGACTGACTATATACAGTAAGTAACTTTGCAACTACAAGACAACTGCCAGTAATTAAACTATTAGTAGACTATGTGCTTAATATCTGCTAACACTTTATTTTGATGGTCTTCCAACAGACATTCTACTGACTATTGGCGCTTTTCCACTGCATAGTACGGTACGGTTCGGTACGGTACGGCTCACTTGTGGTGCTTTTCCACTGCATGGTCCGGTACGGTACGGCTCGCTTCGGCTCGCTTTAAATGGTACCTGGTCTGTTGAGGTTCCAAGCGTACCGTACCGGTACTAAAATGTGACGTAAAAACACTGCAGATCACTGATTGGTCAGACAGAATCGTCACTACCAGCGTCATTGGACACTAAACCCGCTAGATTTAAATAACCAGTAGACAACAGCCAACGCGGTAGCATCTGTTTTTTAAACTTTAAAAAGAAATGGCTGAATCGTGGTCAGTGGACGAGGTGCAGACGTTCCTCTCGTTGGTTGCCGAGGAGCGGATCCAGCGAGAGCTGGATGGGGCAAAACGGAATGAAAAAGTGTTCCAAGAAGTAGCTCAGCTCTTAGCCGCACACGGCTATCACCGGACCTACAACAGTGTAGGGACAAAATAACGATCAGTCCCACCCACTTTGAAGAGGTACTAACTGCGGTGGAAAAGCAACCGAGCTAAAGCGAACCGAACCGTGCCGTACCGAGTCGAGTCGAGTCGTACCACGCAGTGGAAAAGCGAAGCGAGCCGAACCGTTCCGCGCCGAGTCGAACCGTACCGAGCCGAACCGAGCCGTACCAGCAGTGGAAAAGCTGGGACTGATCATTATTTTGTCCCTACACTTGTAACGTTAGGTCCGGTGATAGCCGTGTGCGGCTAAGAGCTGAGCTACTTCTTGGAACACTTTTTCATTCCGTTTTGCCCCATCCAGCTCTCGCTGGATCCGCTCCTCGGCAACCAACGAGAGGAACGTCTGCACCTCGTCCACTGACCACGATTCAGCCATTTGTTTTTAAAGTTTAAAAAACAGATGCTACCACGTTGGCTGTTGTCTACTGGTTATTTAAATCTAGCGGGTTTAGTGTCCAATGACGCTGGTAGTGACGATTCTGTCTGACCAATCAGTGATCTGCAGTGTTTTTACGTCACATTTTAGTACCGGTACGGTACGCTTGGAACCTCAACAGACCAGGTACCATTTAAAGCGAGCCGAAGCGAGCCGTACCGTCCCGGACCATGCAGTGGAAAAGCACCACAAGTGAGCCGTACCGAACCGAACCGTACCGTACTATGCAGTGGAAAAGCGCCAAAGCGTGCCGTACCGAACCGAACCGTACCGTACTATGCAGTGGAAAAGAGCCATAAGTAACTTTACAATTACATGTCAATGTATTCTACTAAACCGAACCCTAACCTAACAGTCTACTAATATTCTAATGTAGTTGCAAATTAATGAGTGTTAGTTGTCATGTAGTTGTAAAGTTACTTATAGTTAGTAGAATGTCTAAAGTAAACTATCGAAATAAAGTGTAACTCAAAGGCCCAAAAGACAAAGACATTTTTTTAAATATATGAATAATAATAAAAATATTTAATGCAAATAAATAAAATAACTAAACTTTCAATGAAAAATAAACTAAAAATAAAATTGCAAAAATAAATGGCAATATAGTGCGTGATGCAGTTTAATTCAACCATTACTCTGAAAAATGCGAATGGCACCATGCGAAATCTATTTTAGATGGGAATATTCTGTTGAGTCTAAACAGAAAATATTTAACTAAAAATAAGTATATAAAAACGCAACAGAAGGAAATGAAAACTAAACTGAAACAAACTATAATAACCTTGGATCGTTCGCTGTACAACAGACAGGATGCGAGAGCCCTAATGGACAGTACGCAACTGAATCTGTGCTGCCTCAACCAGGCATTAATTCCATGCTTAATTTCCCTCCAGTAATAGACTTTCAGGGAGGTATCCGTGGTTTATACCCTTGAGCGATGCTCATTTATTGGCTGTAGGTAATTAAATGTAAGGCAGCATCTTAAATGGCATGTGAATATCGGTGTGGACTTGTGCCATGGGCGTTTTGCCTTCCTCACCTTCAGGAAAGTATCCAACGATCCATTCTCCATGTACTCTGTAATAATCATCACGGGCTTGCCTGTAGACATAAAGAAAAAAAAAGAAGAAGACAAAAATACAAGATTTACCATCAGCCTATATGGAAGGAAAAAAACATAACAGATTGATGATTCTACACAAATCCACACAGAAATAAATCATGGTAATGGTGTCATTAATCCTTTATAGCTGAGATGCTGAAACACAGGAATGAAGGAGAGAAGAGAGGAGGCGAAACCCTGGCCACACTCTCAGCCTCTGTCCCGGGCAGCCCCATCATTCAGCATGACAGACCTTCATCAGAGCCTTCCACCATCAAAGACAGCAGTTAATTAACCCCGGATAATCCACTGAGAACCAATTAGAGAGCTTTGTTGCCATGATGGGCGGGCAGGACAGTCAATGAGAGCCGATGGGAGGGCACAGCACCTGTTCAGGTGGGCATGAGCAGTGATGGATGGTAGGTAGCAAGAGGAAGATCTCCTGTAATCTTGACAGTTTTACGCTTAACAGTACACAAAGTTTGTTGTACAAGTGACTGAGGCAAAGCTCCAGACCCCAAACTAAGAAAACAACATTAGTCAGTCAACTGAACACACCACAACCGCAAGTATTAATCTATTAATTGACCTGAGAAACAACCTCTCAAATGTGACATTGTAATAATAACATACTGTACATGTGTAAGTTCATTCATCTCCACAACTGTTTCAAAACCTAATGAGCTGCTTATTATAATTGTACTTACGACACAAAGGATCCAAAAGAAAATGCTGCGTATTCCAAAGTAGCTCATGTTAGCCAAATGCTAAAACAGGATCCAACTGGCCAACTAGTCTAAAAAGTGGATGTGGACATACATTTTATTAGTTCTATCACTATTTCAATCAATATTTGTTTCCATCTATTGTTGGTGCTTCTCATTAGAGATCAACATGTTAGCTAAGCTGTGTAACATGTTAGCTTGGCTTTGCTAAAATCAAACTGTATAGTGCTGTGTTTTGTAAGTAAAGAAACCTACCTATTGTACCTTGTACAAATACTATTTGTTTCAAATCAAAGTTTGGTAATGTTGTCATACACCTCATTGCTAGTTGGTTTGGTTAAAGAGAATTTTTTTTTTTTCAGAAATATGGGCACTGTTGCACTATATTCAATCAACTGTGAGTGTTAAATAGCTTGAATGTAACTCTAAAACCTTGCCTCATTTAGTATATGTGGTTCTATGAATATGCAAATTAGCCCCGACTCCACTCGTTGGCGATCACACGTTGACGTGATTGGTTACAAGGTAGTTTGTGACATCAGAAACACCAGCGATTTCAAACCGCGTTTTTGAGACTGTCTTTGGTTCACTGCAATTTTAAGGAGAAAATACTCAGCAATGGTGTTGACTTGTGAATTTGCACATGGTTTGTCTTAAAGCATATTAAAAACACTACATAGACGTATAAACAACATTAAAAGCTTGATTTTCACCACAGGGGAAAAAACTAAGACCATTTGCTAAGCTCCGCCCTCCTTCATTGCTAACAGATCGGAAAAAACTGAAGATTTCAGTAAACAATGTACTAATCAATAGGATAATATTCTGGACTGGAATAAATTGTTACTGCATATAATTTTTTTCTGCCTTATCTGTTAATTGTTAAATAAGGAAAACGAAGAAAAATAATGCTTGAATTCTCTCTGAGGAACCTATTTCACATTTTAACATGTATATATATATATATATAGTATTATTATTATTTTATTTTACCTTAAAATTGTGTTTAAAACCATCAAAACACGCAGGTCCTTACATTAGAAAAGAGCAAAAGCTTGACTGTGAAAATGACGGAAAGCATAAATGATGTTATGCGATGCAAAACAATTAAAAAAATGTATCAACCATTAAAAATCATTTAGACCTGTTTCTGAAAATGTTGGTAAACTGATTTTAATATTTAAATTTAAGAATGTATGAAATTGAATGCAATAATGCATTTTATTTGCTTAAGTAAATGTTTAGCATTAACACATGTATCTCATCTGAGTGCTAACATAATAACCTATTTCCTGCTATCTGAAGCACTGGATGCCCACTTAGCATTCAGTGTCTGTATATGTATAAGCCTCATCTGTGGAGACCTACTTATGCTTGGCGTAGGTTCATACAGAGCCTTGATATGCCCCTTTTACAAAGACAAGCATGGTGTACACCACCAGAATCAAACGCACCGACTAATCAACAGGCACATTTGACACGGTCATATTACCCCAGCGGTCACGTTTTGATTCGTTCCGTCAAATCTGTACATGGACGTTTCTGAAATGAAACAAGGGTCGCTAAACTGTTGAACTCTCTGTGACCTGTGAGTGATATATTTAGGTCAGAGGATTGAGAGGGATATGACAGAGCTTGTTAACCGGGACTCGACAAGCCGCTGGAACATTTTTCTGTTTATTTCACTCTGTCGCTTTATTTCAGATATCAGGTTGCAGATGATGCCCTGCGGTAGATTGGTGGCAGCAGAAGTATAACTTATGCCTATAAGTGGGAGTGTGTTTGTAAGACTGTTTGTAAGACTCTGTTTGACTCATTGTTGCCTTGATATTGCTACCTTGTAAGTGATCATTCATGTAGGATGTCTTCTTGTGTTCAAAACCGCTTAATGCAATTGAACAGAAGATGTGTTTGTCGTCAGAATATGCTAGTCTGTAAGTATCCTTATCCCACCCACAGATTTATCTGATTGGTCGGTTTAAGGGATAAAACGATTTTATTTCAGCTTAATCTCAATTATTGAAAATTGTCATTTTAGATTTAGTTCAAGTTAACAATAACAACATTGATGCAAAAAGTCTGTAGTAAATAAATCAGGAGGTAAAAAAAAAGTCCACAGTTACTACTCCAAAAAAGAAAAGACATTAGTGTACACACAGAATGTGTGTCAGTGTATCAGTGTTCAGTTGTGGGCTGTTGTTCCTGCCTCTCTCAGGGACGTGTAAACACTAGCCGTGTCAGTGCTGATAAATGGTCAGTGCTGGACATCTCCACTCTGGAATACTGAGATATGTGCTCTAGTCATATACAGAATACAGTATATGCCTCTATGAGTTTGTGAAAAACAGGTTTGATCACCCCCCTCCGAGCATCACCACGGCAACTGGCTGGTTATACATCACCTAAAATTAAATCACTATCTCACTGAGATCGGACGGGACTGTTTGGCATGTTAGGGGGATTGACGAGAGGGAACAAAATTGAATGCCTTCCTCGACACCCCCAAACCTAACCCCCCATGTCTCACCCGAAAAAAAAAATGAAAAAAAAAATGCAATTGCTTTTACTTTTCAGAGGCAGACTAATGTAGCTGTCAGCCGCAGAAAGAGAAAGAGAGCGAACGGACCGCAGCGCACTGTGTTCTGGGAATGGCACGGCGACGGGTGGCAATCTGATGTCACTGTGTGTGTGTGTGTGTGTGTGTGTGTGTGTGTGTGACCGCTTTATCAGAAAGACAGTTGAAGCGGCAACTGGCATTGATCCTGAAAGAGCGGGTGGCCGAGGCACTGGATCCGATCAGAGAAGCTTATGGGGCCTACCGGGGCCCTAACCTCAGCGTAACAGCCTACAGCCGAGCCCGGAGACAGAAAACACGAGATGAACGTGTAGTTAAACACTGCGAGGGCAGATGTGAGGATTTAACAGGATCACGTACGTGCCTTTAACAAATATCAAATCTCTAATGCGAGTGTCCTCCAGATCGGAATTGGTTTCAAAAGCTGAAATTTACCAAAGGAAATTAATTTCATACTCAATGCTTGACTAAACTCTGGCAAATCTTTTTGAAAGGTCATCTAGTGTTGATTTTGTACGTGGGTTTAAGTGCTAAAACAACCGTCAGCCGTGATTACAGCAGGCGTTTAACTAATAAAACACTCCTTGTTACGAGCTCTTCGGAAAACAGCTCTGAAAGATCCGCTTTTGACAATCTCTGGCAACCTTGAGGGGATTTTTTTTAAATTTCCCCTCTAATTCATGCGTTATCAAGAGATCATCTGGACATTTGATGTGGCATATTTTCCTGATGAGTTACAAAAAGGTTATGGCACAAGCACACACAAGCATCTCCATCCGGTGCAGAATGTGTGCTCGCCATCTCAAAAGCGCACAATAGAGCTCATTGAGAGCTTCCTGCATTAGCATCACATGTCTTATGAACAGAGGGTAGGCATATCTCTGTGATTTCACCCTTCAGACCTGTTCTTCTCTTTCTGCAAATAGAAGAATATGTTTAACCCTTCGTAAACCCTGCATGGCTGGAATAGCAGCCATCTACAATGAGCTCTGTGTGTGCGGGAGTTTCAACACAGGGTTAGGTTATAGATTTACATACTGTGAAGATCAAGAAAGCCTGAAGGTGACACTTAATACAGTTAATGCAGGTTTACAAATAAATCTTCAGAAGACAACGTTCTGTGTTAATACAAAGGAATTTTCTCGATTTCCTTTTCATAAGCGTTTCCCTGTATTTTGAATTACGCATTGCATTGTTTTTCTGTTTCGTTTGGGAGGGGGGGAATGTGGTTTGTAGAGGGGGGGAGGGGGGGGGTTTGTAGAGTAAAACCCCTAGAGTAGTTTCACAGGACAAAATTATATTTTAAAGTACATTAAAATAGTAAACAGTACTTTTGAACTGTAATAACATCAAATTAACCATAAGAGCATAAGCATAAGTGGCTTCTTTCAAAAACATAAAAAAACGTCCGAAATTTTTTAACAGTAGTGTAAATAAATAAATAGCTCAAAAATAGTTTTTTAAAACTTTGATAGAATGATTTTCCCAACTGCTGATCCCTCGCTAACTTCAAGAAACATCTAGAGACACAAACACATTATGAATCGCTTATGTTGTTGCACTGTCGTCGTCTTGGATAAAAGTTTCTGATTAATGAATACAGTACATGTAAAATGTAAATGTGACTATTAATGGCCCGAAATAAAGACTAAGCTGTCATTGTCTCTGATGAAAATAACAGATTGGATCCAGGTCTACA